AATTTCATTCTTCAAACAGTTCTTTCACTATTTTCATTGTTATATAGTATTATTTTGCAACATTTTAGAGGCTTGTAAACCTTTATCTAAAATTTTTAGTACTGTCTAAACTCTAGGGTCCATAAAATTGCTTACCTTCGTTTTCTCTGGTAAAAAACAGATAGGATCTCTTTCCCACGAGGAGCTGTTTGTACTTTGTAATTAATCCTGATATTCTGTTGTAAATTGTTGCAATATTCCAGTTTTATTTGGACTCTTAGTCTGTTTATAACTTTATGAGATCAAAATTCTTAACTTTTTAGCAATAGCAATAGCAATAGCAATAGCAGTTAGACTTATATACCGCTTCATAGGGCTTTCAGCCCTCTCTAAGCGGTTTACAGAGTCAGCATACAATCCAGGTCCTCATTTTACCCATCTCGGAAGGATGGAAGGCTGAGTCAACCCTGAGCCGGTGAGATTTGAACAGCCGAACTGCAGAACTGCAGTCAGCTGAAGTAGCCTGCAGTGCTGCATTTAACCACTGCGCCACCTCGGCTCTTTACATCATGTTTCAGACTGATATCCATCTTAGTGTTTTGCAGTAAGAAATTTTTGTGGCTTTTAAAAGACAAGTCCACTTTTCATACAGAATGTATTAATCTGTCTGTTTGGGAATGAAGGCATTTTTCTTTTATTTTCCCAAGTTAAAAGCCCAACACTTCATCTAAATTTACCTGCAGCTTTTGCCTTGTGCTATTGCATTCTATGGCAAGAAGATTAGCAAGCAGCCATGTGGTGCATTGTGTAGAAATAAAAGCTGCTCTTTCATTCAATTCCTGTAAACTGATTTTTTTTAAAGCATTTTATATGGGAATGTTAAACAGGTGTTTGCTAAAGCCTCTCACGCTCAGAACCTTTTCTATTATATAAATTCTTATCCCTCTCTTCTGAGAAGAAGAAAAACCCATGATAAAGTTGGCATTTACAGGAGCAACCATGATGATTGCTGTCAGAAAAAGAAAGGTTGCCCTTTGAGTAAAAAATCTTTTCAGGGTAACTTTATGTTAACCGTGATTATCACATTCTGATGACATGTACAGTATTTCCAATGCATGCAATATATGCAATTATATCCAATACTACTTTTATTATTTTTAATATAGTTTTGGTATGCAACCTTTTTAAACATACTTATTTTTACATAACCCCCAAACTACGTCACAAATACTTTGTGATAGATCTTTATAATTATATGAATGACATGCCCATTTATGCTGAATCTGTTCTGTCATATCACAGCAATTAATTATTCAACTATCTTAACTTACAGTGGTACAAAAGATTCCATTGTTTGCTAGACATGTTACCTACTTCTGGTGTTTCATTTTAATTTGGTATTACATTAACACTCTGGCACCAAAATAATTTCACCAATTCAAATTTGCCCATGTTGGTTAAAATTAGTCTATGCTAATCCCTTGTGCTTGCCTCAGCAAAAATCATGAAGTGCGGACTGAATTTGTTATAAAACTGTACAGTAATTCCTCTAGTAAGCATTAGTTATAGTATATAATTGATACCTCTGTAATTAGAAAAAGGAAAAAGAAAAAGAAATCTGACTTTTTCCCATATAAGTATTCCTTGATTAGTAGCCAAAACTGGGGCCAGAACTTGGTTGCTAAGTGCCGCAACCACTAAGCAGAAAATCTTTTGAATGCAGTGGATTTATGATGTCATTTCTGATTCAGTTGTTAAGGGAAGCATCACAAGACAGCAATTTTACAATTTAGTTTACCAGTTCTCCATTAACTCTGCTTCTCACAAGTTGGTTGAAAAGCACACAAATGGTGATCACCTGACTGTGGGAGGGTACAATGGTTGTAAATGCAAGGATTGGTCACAAAGTTGGTTTTTTTTACATAGTCATAACTTCTAACAATTGCTAAACAAGGCAGTAAGTGAGGATTATCTTATTTTCTGAAAAGAGGATTTAGTTTATTTATGAATTAGATTTTTATCTTGTCTTTATTATTTTTATAAACAACTTAAAGCAGTGAACATACATAACAATCCTTTCTCCTCCTGTTTTACCCACCACAACCACCCCTGTGAGGTGGGTTGGGTTGAGACAGAGTGACTGGTCAAAGGCCAGCCAGCCAGCTTTCATACCTAAGGCAGGACTAGAACTGACAGTCTCTTGGTTTCCATGTCAACACCTTAACTACAGGGGTGAAATTCAACAGGTTCTGACAGGTTCTAGAGAACCGGTAGCAGAAATTTTGAGTAGTTCTGACAACCGGCAAATACTACCTCTGACTGGCTCCAGGGGAGGGAATATCCTTTCCCCCAGGAGTGGGGAGGGAATGGAGATTTTGCAGTATCCTTCCCCTGCCACACCCACCAAGCCACGCCCACAGAACCTATAGTAAAAAAAAATGAATTTCACCACTGCTTAACTATAACACCAAACTGTAATGAGTGGTGAATTAAAATGAATAAATCTCATTTTAATAATAAATATAAGGGAATTCTAAAATATAGTAATTTCTCAGATATCAATTTGATGTGATAGCCAGACACCTAAACCAAACAAGATAACAAAGCAAGACTAAGCTGACATATAGGTTTTCTCCCACACATCTTGACAATCCTTCAGTTGTTAAAAGACACATATTCACAACACCCTGTTTCCCTGAAAAGAAGACTTCCCCGGATAATAAGCCCAATCGGGCTTTTGAGCGCATACACTACAGTAAGCCCTCACCTGAAAACAAGCCCTTCCTGAAAATATTGCAACACAGCAGCAGCCATGAAGTTACCACACTCGCTGCCTCCTGCACCTCAAAACTAATAAGACCTTCCTGAAAATAAGGCCAAGTGCTTATTTCGGGGGTCAAAAGAAAATAAGACCCTGTCTTATTTTCGGGGAAACATGGTCGTTTCAAGCAAGTCAATCAATTGTATGTATTTATTTTTATTTATTTATAAGACTTATAATTTATAGCAAACATAAATAGATTCTTGATGGCTCAAATAACAAAGCACAAAAATATCAAAAATATATTAAAAATACATTAAAAACTCAACCATATAATACTGGTGTTAAATCCCCCAAACCCTTTGGAAAAATTCTGTTTTCAACTTTTCCCCAAATGGCAGACAATTTCAGGGACATCTGAACAGGAGGCCATTCCAGAGTGCTGGTCCCGTAATGGAAAAACTGATCTTCTGGATTCATCTCCCTGACCTTCTGAAAATGGAGAAAATAATGAAATGCTTCCTCCAGCATAACAGAAATGATCATGTACCAAGCCATACATGTCTTTATAGGTTAAGGCTAGCACTTGAAATTTTACCCAGAATCTAACAGGAATCCAGTGCAGGGCCTACAAGACAGGTATAATAGGTTCAGAGGTGATTGATTGATTGATCTGATTTTGATTTTATTTTATTATATTTATATGCCACCCTTTTCCCCTGAAGGGGACTCAGGGCGGCTCACAATTCAAATCAGNTACTGGGTTTATGATGAGCCTCTACTCAAGCGACTTGCTGCCAGTAAATATTAAGCAGGCCAAGCCTGTGAAGTTCAAGCCTTGACTTAGTGGCACCAATTGTAATGTTCAAAGGACTCTTCTTTTGGAGAGCCTGTCTTCTTTTGGAGAGCCTGGCATTGCATTACAAACGGTTGGAGAACCACATATTGCTTCGCTTCTCCTGTAGATTAAGAGCATGGGCCATAAGCCTATCGAGGGAAGAAGTATGCCTTTAATTTATATGTAACATTCCAGAATATTTAATATTATTCTATTACCACTGTATAATTTGGTTGTACAGAATTGATAATGTCCCGATTTACCATTTTTTCTCCCTCTTCCCCCCCTTGTTCTAAAAGCAAAGCACTAAGACTGCAGTACAAGAGGAACAGCTTGTATTTGCCCTATTTCCATTTTTTAAGTTCTTGAAACTTAAAATTATATGAGTAGCAGCAGTATCACTTATATGCCATATTCCATGCAACTGATGTAGATAAATGATTTCTGCCTTAAAATATGCATTTAAAGAATGCATTTGAGGTGCGATGGTACATTCAACTATTTTTCCCGATTTTGCTTTTGTAGGATTACAAAAACTCTAATCCCAATCTCTCTCTTCTTTTTCTTTAAGGAGCAAAGGCACCTTATTAAAAAGAACTAATTTGGCATACTCCTCAAATGTTTTTACCTTAACAATGTCACAAAAATCAAGAAATTAAGATTTCAATAATTTATTGCACACGTTATTTTAAGAGCACTCATCCTGAACTATCTGATGAAGATGATTCCTAGGTATATTCTTAATATTTTTTTCATTTGAAGCCAGAAATATTTTTTCTCCAAATTGATGCAATATAGGCACATTCAGTTTTAAGTAATCTAATAGCATTTTCTGGATAGCAGGTAATATTTTACTTCTGAGAGAGTCTTTAGTCTTTTTTACCCACAGCTGTTATGGAAGAAGCAGCAGCATTCCAGGCAGAAAGAACCCAGAATTATAATTGCCAATGGGGGACCCATTTACTTTTATGAACAAGTCTATCTTTCTATACATCCATTGTTATATATATTTTCACCAAAAAAATGCTCTCTCTTATGTATGCTTTGCTGGTTAAAAGACACGCTTGAAATATGTACATTAGTTTGTGAGGAGTCAACTATTTTCCATAAAGCCTGGTAAATTGGAGTCTTAGAAGGAAAGCATACCTCCAGAGTATTTAACTTGTACTACACATTATGGCAGCCCAAGATGAGTTATTTTAATATCTTATGGTATGGGAGAACATTGAGAGCTGATGTATACACTTTGATGTTCTTAATGCAAGTGATGTCAGTCAAAGAAGAAGGGTCTAAGAACATGAGTTGAGGTATTTCATTGCTTGAAGGGCTATGCACATTTGAAAGAGATGGAACGTCTGCATCACCTTCATGTACACCAAATCCAACCACCTGTAATTTCAAAACAAAATAGGAGATAAATTCTACAATATGCACAATAGTTTCTATTACCGCAGAAAGGGTTAAAACATTATTTTATGCCTGAGTAAGCAACAGATTAATGCTTAAATTTTAAAATTATAGTTTTATTTTGAATTCAATTAACGAGCTACATGAAAATCATGTTTCAGGACCAATCTCCCAGCCCCTCATGTTCAAAGCTAGGATATGCTGCACAAACAAATCATTTTACATTCATTAGCACAGTGTTTTTCAACCACTGTGCCGCGGCACACTAGTGTGCCGTGACATAGTGTAAGGTGTGCCGTGGGAAAATTACTTTATATAT